TATATATATATATATATATATATATATATATATATATATATATATATATATATATATATATATATATATATATATATATATATATATATATATATATATATATATACATAACAAAGTTCAAAGTTAGTTGCTTTGTTTTGCTGCTATATAGATAGATAGATAGATAGATAGAGATATATATTGTTATATATTCATAGTTGTTTAATCTGCAGTGGGTTTAATCTGCAAAATGCAGAGACTTGTATGCTGTTTATATAATAAGGCTGGCTGATGAAAGACAGAACAAACAAAAAAACAGCTTGTATCATGTGATTGATGGGCATAACCATAATTAATTGATGGAGAAAATGATTGACAGACTCCCCCGTGATCTTCCCAGCCACTCTAGTCTCTGAGCTGAAACATTCGTCCTAGCCTTCACTACTCATATTCATTCGTATTCACTTGTATTTACGGGTGAATTTGTACGGTTGCTCCAAACTGAAGTAATGAAAAGCTTTTCAGTCAAAAGGCAATTTCAGAACTGCTAAATTCTAAGAAAAGTTTTCTGAAAAGGTAAATAAGGGAAAACTGATGAACACTTGCCAAGATTTTTATGCTGAATGGGGAAAAAATGACAACAAACTCAGCAGCAGGTGAGCTTAGATGTAGGTAAAAGCAGAAGTGTCATATTTAGTCATATTAAAATGTAAGTAAATCGAATGAAACACCTGAAAGTAACTCTTTGATATGACTTGCTTTGACTTTACTGCTATGTATAAAACCCCATATCTCCCACATTTGTGTTTGTTTACCTCTGCCAACACCACAGCAAGCACTACTAATACACTGCTGAAATTACAAGTGGGTCCGGCAGGGGGCAGTGTCAGACCAGAAGTCGATGTGCCACTATGCCTTGTATGTTGCTGTTCCTCTTTCAGCTGCTCCTGTTAGGGGTCGCCAAAGCGGATCATGAGTCGGCGTATTTGAGTTGGGACAGTTTTTACACCAGATGCCCTCCCCAATTTTATCCAGGCTTGGGACCGGGACTGAGAGTGCACTGTTGCACACCACACCAACCAACCCCAGCCACTGGGGTTGGTTTCCTGGCCGGGAATCAAACCCGAGCCGCAGCTTTGAGAGTGCTGTGGCCTAACCACCCTACACTATACCTTTTATATTTTACAGTAAAATACAGTATAGTGACAATTACTGCAATATAATTCACACCAATTGTGATAAGCTGTAATGAGTACTGTAAAACAATTCAGTATACAATTTTTTGGTCATATTCATTCAAATAGGACCAAATCAGTCTATGCAGAGGAAACTAATAACCAAAACAGGCGATTCGAATATCTTATATAGAAAAAGAATACTGTATATTCATTCATTCATTCATTCATTCATGCCTAGTAAGTGCTTTATCCTGGTCAGGGTCGCAGTGGATCTGGAGCCTATCCCTTCAACACTGGGCACAAGGCAGGAATACACCCTGGATTGGAGGTTAGTCCACCACAGGGCACTGTGCACACACACACCTTCACACACTCACTCACCCACCTACCAGCATGTTTTTGAGCAGCACAATATACCTAACTAAATTATAAGCCTACGTGCTAGACAATACACCCCGTCCCATAGGATGTACTTGATGAAATGAAGCTAAAATGAGGGTAAAAATGATCATCTTGCATTTTGTATTTAACAACAAGAACAAGAGAAACATTGCATCGTCTGCGTCCGTCAGTGTTACTGCACGCGTTTTGGAAGGAAGCCCCAAAAGAAAGAGACCAGGCTCCTTTTTCAGCTTTATCTGAAGAATGGTGCTGATGTTACAAGCAGTAAATCTCCAAAACCTGGAGATATATTTGCACTTCCAGACACAGTGAGAGTAACTTCCTAAGTCTGCATGGCATTTCACGCAGACAGCCGATATGCTACGATCAGTTTTATTCATTATAACTGGCATTATATATAACCTGTGTAGTATCTTGTATTGTATTGTATCTTGTATTTGCAAGCTACCGTATTCAAAAGTCCTGGGATATGGGAGTATAAATAAGAATAAAACCTAGATATAAAATGAGCAGCATTACTTGTATTGATAAATAAACCCTCTAAGTCGCCGGGTAGAGGCATATCCGACAGAGATCTCTGCTCTGAAATGATGTAATGCTGAATTTGTATACAGCCAATATAATGTTCCTTAGGGAGATCAAACATCAAACCTCTGTCGTAATTGCTGAAAGGACATGAGGGAACCATCCTGGAACAACGGTCCCCCACCACGCGAATCCACTTTATGTGCCATGCTTTGAAGAATGGGGAAAAATACCAGGGTCAAAATCCTGATTCAGATAAACTGGGCTCAACATAGACCTAAATTCTCCTCTCTCCATGTACACTGAGATCTGCCGCCATACTCTAATAGAATTGACACACATTTCAGATATA